TGAATTGCAAGAAAAGTTACCTATGGTCTTAGAACTATTGATGTAATTTTTGAAAGGGGACTTCAAAATGTTTCAAGAGAGTCTACATAACCTTCAAGATAAAAAAAAAAACAGAATTAAACATAAGCATTCTTCTTGAAAATGCAAAGGAAAGAAAACTTTAGAAGTAGAAAATACCCCATGTGAAAGGAAAACATGGAGACTGCTCTGCCACTACCCTTTAAGTGGCTTTTGTAAATGTTCTCCATTGAAGAGAAAGTTAGAGATGATCGTTAGAAATCTGAGCATTTTTTCAAATAGAAATTCCTTCCTGAGAGCTTCTTTTTCTTACAGATGGGTACAGGAACCATCATTAGAGTCAGGTATCCAATAGCAAAGACCCCAAATAAACACATTCTCAGTTTGAAAAAAATACCTGTGGCTCCACTTTAAGAAAGATCAGAAAGTCATTTAACTCCCAATAGTAACATGGACAAGAAGAGTCAAGCCTTCAGTTGGCTATAGGAAGCAGGACCACATAGAGTTAAAGAACTACATTTACCTGCAGGCCAGGCACATACACACAATATACATTTATGACTTCCATAAAACAGGAAACATACATTTGCTACAGTTTGGGTCATTTTAGAATACAAAGAACCCCTATCTTATTTCAATAGTCCTTGGCCAATGATCCCCTTGGATCCATAACTTTAAACATACAGGCACACATTAGCAGTGAAATAGGAAAGAAATGGTACCAATATATGTTTTTCAACAATCAATGCTGAAGATGGATTGAAACAGGCATTTGCAGAGAAGAAGTCTCCTCTATCATAGTAAAAGTAATTTGCCAAGGGTTTTCATCCTATTTCAGATCAAATATAATTGAAATATTCATTCATCATACTTCTGATACTCTAATTCAGATTATTAGAGGTGAGAATATTCACCTAATTACTTATGTGACCGCCTTTTATCTGCTTTAAATGATGTAGTTACAGATAGATAACATATTTTTTAAACTTTCCATCTATTTGCTCTTACATAAGAAGTAGGCGGCATTTGAAATGTGTATTTCATTTTAAACTGAAAAAACTCAATCTCTTTTTTTCAAGAAGTCTGGTTGGTATAATGGCCAAAGTTCAGATTCTAGATTGCAACAAAAGAAATTCTAAAGCAAATGAATATTCAAACAAGATTCTTATCCTGCTTAAACATCAGTGTCCTTATATGTGAGATGGAGTTAACAATGTTTATCCTATAGGATTAGTAAGAGAATAAACAAGGTAATAGTATTTAACACAGAGTTGGCTAATGGGGTAAAGACCACTGTTTGTTTTGTTACCTGGTTTATTCTAATAACCTAGAACAGTGCCTGGAAGGTCATAGTTGCTCAACAAATATTTATTAAAATCATTGATGTGTGATTATCCTGAGGAGCTCTGATATTGGGAAGAATGTCACCCATCAGCAGCCTAGAATTTCCCTTTCTTATCTTGCAAACAATATCACTAAATCATCCCCAAAATTATATAGTTCATCCTCCTGCCACTTACATGACTTCACCCAAACCACCAAAGACAAGTACCATTTTCTATCCTTAAAATATTCCTCAGGAGGAGACTGCTCAAACTTCATATAACCAAAACCTTTCCTCCTTTTGGCTATACGTTATCTGCTTCTGCAACTACTTTTCTTATTCATTCTCCTACCTCTGTCACTTTCTTCCTTACATCCCTTTAGAACTGCTCTGTATATACTGCTTTTTCTCTCCAACTTGTCAAACTCATTTTGAAAGGCAGTCCTTGTGATTCGTTCCCAAAAAAAAACAATGGGGACTTTTGGATGCCACAAGCCAGCCTGCAGCCATGAAACATCTCATCCTGGGATCTACATAAATGCCAACTCTAGAAACAACCATTGCCATAGACAGGGTCCTGGTAAGGCCGGGTTCCATTTCAAAATGGTTCTCTCAAATGGTATTAATTTTCTTCTTTTGAAGTGTTTAGGAATAGATCTCATCTATGCTGGTAGGGGGGAAACTCACATGTAAAATGATGACTGTTGTAAACTACTGTTTATTTGATTTAAAAGAAAAATTTCTTGTTCATGTGAATTAGTTTAAAATGGCAAATAAACTGTTTAAAATTTTAATTCTCTTCTCTCTTGTAGATATCTAGGATAGTGTTACAATCTTGATTAAAACATCTGTAGTTACATATACCTGGTTTTAATAACGTCCACATTTTCTTTCCTAGTAGACCCAATAGGCCAAAGTGAAAACTTTACTTTATATGTAGATGCTTCTGTCATTAAGCCTGGCTTTTTTATTTGGTAGTAGCATGCAAAATATTAATACTAAAGATATCGTAACAACATGGAAAGACTTATGACAAAAATGGTATAGAGTTTTCATCTAAGTGTTATTTCCTGATATGTGATATACAAATGAAAATGATATAGAAATATAAATTTCTCAGTTTGCAGAAATTTTCCTAGTTTACTTAAAAAGAATTTTTGAAATTATACGCAAGTTATAATCTTTTAACTAGGTGACCCTAAACCTTCTGATCAAGTCAAACAGAAATATTTCTGACTATTCAAACAGAAAAATGACTATTTGATTCCTAAATATGCAATAAGCAGGCTGTCTTGGCAAAAGACTGGCTGACAAAACAAAGTACAGATTTCATTCAGCTTGATATTCTGGTGCCTAGTTTGCTGACCTGGAGAATTACCTATGATGATCCTGCAACAGGATAACAATTCTGCAATGAATTCACTGGAGAATGGTAAATATCACCAGGAAAAGTCTCAGATCTCATCCCACTCATCTTGCCACTATACTGAAATCTGTATCCATGGGAACCTCAATCCCTATCAGGAAGTGTGCACTTGATACCAAAAAAGTAAGAATATTTTCTGGAATAGAATAAAACACCTCCCCCCCCCAAAAAAAGCAAGAACTAATGCTGCTGGGAATTCAAATTTATAATTTTAATGCTATAGAATATATTAATCAATTTCTATGTGAGATAGATACTTACAGAGATGAGAGATGAGAGAAAGGTATTTTTGGTGCATGGACCAAGAGGAAAGGACATGAACTGGGCATAATTGGGATGAGCAACCCTGACTGCATCAATCTGGGAGAGAACTGTCAGCAGTTAATATGAGGGTCCTTAGCCCAGGGATGGATGATGAAAAGACCACCTTGAGGTGTAGAAAGGTGTAGAAAGCCACTGAAAGTATTTTCTCTGGTGTGAGACATTAGGCTTTTCAGCCACTCATTATAGAATACGAGGAACACTATTAAGTTTGAGGCTCAAATTGGGCTTTTATCTACATATTCATAATTTTATCTTGCTATATTATGACTTGAAAACTGACCTCCTTTGAAGCTGGTAAGTGAGCCAGAATGCCAGATTGAAAAAGTGAGCCTGTGTGACTGTAGAGTCCTTAACCCTTACATAGAAGGCATGAGATGGAGAACATATGTTATACAGATATTGATAAATTAAGAGTTTTGCAAAAAACAGAGGGAATAATTAAGAATATTATATTTTCTAATATTCATTATTTTCATTCATGTCTTAAGAGAAACAGAAACAGGATCATTAAAAAATTATCTTAGAAGTTTGGGGTTTGAAATCTTTTCCTGACTCATTCATTGAATTGTACCTAGAAACACCATTGGAAACAAATGTTTTAATCCATTTATTTCCAGTTGTGATAAAAAAATCTGTGAAATAATAATCTGCTAAAGATTATTTTAATTAAAAAAACGAAGTTTTTTTCTCAAACAAGAATGAGAAATATAAGTATCTCCCTTTTATTTATCAGTCTGATTCCAGTCTGCTGTTTGACTAAGTACAGTGGAACTATCCTTGTAGATCATATAAATCCTCTCCTCTCTCTCAAGGTTTTTTTTTTCTACAAAAGTTAGCATAAATTTATTTCACTTAAAAAAAAAGTGAGTTTTGATTAGCAGGTGAAAGCAAATATATCATCAGAAGAAACACCAATCTGTGATATGGTTTCAAAAGGTACATGGATGGGCCACCAACCTGTCACTCTCATTAATAAATGTCCACCATTCCCCCACAGAAGAAGCACTTAAATATAAATATATATAGTACATTCATATTTCCTGATAAGGTTCATCTAACTATGCTTTCTAGCACAAACATTTAATATATTTGCTGCTAGTTTTTCTTGTGTATTAGTGGGTTTGAATCTAACTAAGCTTCAAAATGGCCTACTGTGGAAATTTACTTAAGTAGACAGATATCATTCTCAGCTCTATGTGTCTTATTGCACCTTTGATAATTACTACAGTGGACTTTGCTTCTGGGACATTCTCCAAGTCATGTTTTTAATTATTTTGTTTAATTACAGTTATTTGATTTGAGCTAAGCTGGAAATCTACCTACTTGAAGAAGAGGCCTTGTTCATACCTCATTTTGGGTAAAGTGTCATTTTTTAAGCTATAGAGGTTATTTGGTAATGGTGTAATTTCAAGGTATTTGTTCTTTTGGCATGAATCCTGCATTCTAAATTCCAACTTGTGGAAAACTGAAGTAGAATCAAACAGACATTAGTTTACTAAATGATACTTAGGATTCTTTACTTGTGGCTTTAGGAACTAAGATATACAACTAGTAGTTTGGTGATTTTTTTTTTAAAAATTGTTTTCTCAACTACATTATAAATTCACACTTCTATCTGAGAAAAGTAGATTATAGATGTCAGTCTACAATATCTACTCTTGGAAGAAAATGATAGTAGCATTTCAACGAAAGGAACTCCCTTTTTTGCTTTTTATTATATAAATAGTTCTGGAAAATAGAAATATCTGGATTCTCTAATTCCTTTCTATGCTACTTTTTCTTTTAGGGAGCAGACTCTGTCCTAGATAATTATTGTAGGCCAGTGTAGAGTGCAAGGCAGGGAGGACCTATGGCTTCACCTCCTTCACCTTCACCTACCTAGCCAAGGTAGCTCAGCATTTGGAAGAATACAATAATTCATAACAATAGAAAGTTAGCACTTTCCACATAACTGATAATGATCTATTAAATAAATCTTTTCCCCACACTGTTTAGCTCAAGGTACCATACATATCATACTCTCAACTTTATGCATTCTTATGTTTCACACATTCTTTTACCCACACTGCTCCTCCTGGAGTCAACTGATGTTGCATGTTTGGATTTTACTTCATCAAACAAGATGACATAGTTGTTGAAACAACTCATTAATGGCAATGTTGTACAGAGTCAAGTTACAATAATAGTATAATTTTGATTAAGTAGAATAGGGAATGCATGTTTGCAAACTTGTGAATGGTAACTCTGTGTGTGAGAAAAAATGAAACAACTCTTCCAAAGAAGGAGATGTAGGGCAGGGTCAAAGACAGAGACAGAGAGAGCAGGGGAGAGGCAATGCACTAGACCCTAAGACTACTATGAAGTCCTTCAGCAACTTAACTAAAGATGAGTGTGATGACTGGTGTTATAAAATTACCTCAATGACTTTTATTTTAAATAATGTTGTTAAAATCACTCCAGTTTCATTGCCATTAACTCTAGTTCCTAGTTCACTGATACATTTCATGCAGTTATATTTTACTCAACACCAAAATGTTTTTCAAACTAGCCTTTTCCATTTAATTACAATTGCAAGCTAATACATATCTATTTTTAGAGTCATGCAGAACTCCTTCTATTTTTGTAATCATAACTCACCCAGGCATATAGTTAGGTATCCCATTTCCCCCAATGAGTCATAACTTTTCTTCCATATGTATTCTGGTGAACCATTTAAATCTAACAATGTACAGAACTGCTGAACACTATGGAAGCCTAAAGGTGCATTTGTGGCATCAAAACTCACTGTATTATTTATAATGTTACAAAAATGCTTCATTAATAATCAAGGCTGAATTTGACCACTGAGCTTGGTTAGTTTGTGGTGTTAGCCTAATCAATTGACAATAGATACAAATATCTAGAGATTGAAAAAAAATTCAAACTCTAGATATCAAGAGAATCACATATGTCTGTTAGGTTAGGTAGGATTAAAAAGTATAGAGAGATTAAGGGGAAATATTTTATGAAGTCTTTTGCTTTCATTGAAAACTAAGTCAAGAGCTCATCAGTATTTTAATCCAAAATGATAAGGTGAGTGTACTTAAGCTATTACAGATGAACGGGACTCACTTGAGTCTCCAGTGTTCATTTGGTAATAAATGTAAGATATCATCTGTGACAGGAAAGACTGGATGACCCCTAAAAGGTTCACTCATTCAACAAGCATGTACTGAGTACTTATTAGGTACTGGTCATACACAGATGACAACGACATGATCCCAAATATATGTTGCCTCCAATGTTTTACATTATTTGTGGGTTAAATTCTAAGAAGTTAGTGAACTTACAAATGAATTAAGTGCAAAATTAAAACACTGTGTTTAGTCTGGACTTTGTAATATAGGCACTAGAGGAGAAGAGTGGTTTCAGTAGACATGTCTTCCTCTAAATTCACTCATAACTTGCACTGGGTGGATTTTTTTCTTTGCTGAGCCTCGTCTGACAGCTGCACAAGTTTCCTCTGGCTTCTCTCTTTTAATCAAGGGTTTTTTTGCAGGAGCCTTCATTCTCCACATCACAACTGGGTGCCGGGGCCCAGCAGGACTCTGAATTCGGATGATCTTGGTTGAGGCAATGTAAGACATTTTCACTGTTTGCACCACAGCATTCATTAAATTTTTGGCTGCTTGAATCAGGGAGGTGACGCTATCCAACTGTAGGAGGGAAAAAAGAGCTATTATTCATGAATGCAATCAGAAATATAAAAAGATTTAATGTTACAGAAACTGAAAAGTTCCACTTCATTTTACCCCCAGAAATGAATTAATCTGCATTTTGTGTATCTATGTAAATATCTACATTCATCTATCCACTTGAATTTATCATTTTTCTCTTTATCTGATGCATAAACACATTCCTATCCTATTTTCTTAGATGATATCTTAAAGAGATTAATTTCCACCTCTTGGTTTTCAGTGAAAGAGATTTTATAACTTCTATGTAATATTGTAAGGTCCAGGTCCAGATGGTCGCTGCTTTCTTCGTAATGAATTTCCCTATTTCCAGGGGTAATTCTGAGCCCTTTCTATAACAGATGACTATCCGGGCTGCCCAGATGGCTCAGCCGTTTAGCGTCACCTTTAGCCCAGGGTGTGATCCTGGAGTCCTGGGATCGAGTCCCACATTGGGCTCCCTGCACGGAGCCTGCTTTTCCCTCTGCCTGTGTCTGTGCCTCTTTCTGTGTGTCTCTCATGAATAAATATATAAAATCTTAAAAAAAAATCTTTATTGTGGATGACTGTCTGCCTCAGAACTTGGGCAAATCATTTAGCCATTTTCATCCTAGTTTCCTCAGATATTTAATAGAAAATAAATGCTTATTAAAGTTAGATAATATAAATATGTGTCAAGGAACCTAGTGTAGTGATTACCAAATAGCTGATTGTTTTTAAATACATTTCCTTTGTTTCTTATGAAAACTGACAAAATTGTCTCATTATAAAGAGATGAAAATACTAATACTAAAACAAACTTTTTCTCACATGATTTTGTTTTTAATCGTTTTGTCTTCTGGATAGCTCACAAAAATAATCTCAGGGGGAAATGGAGTGATATCCATAGAATTTCGCAAAACACCTTAGAGCTAAGCCGAGCTGGTTCATTTTTATACAACTAATGCTTCTTCCATTATTTTAGTTTGGCAGATTGTCATCCCCAGCCAACTCCTACAGGAAGATGTGCCTCCACTGTCATCTCTCTGTGATGTGTGCTGTCAGGGCTGAGACTCAAACACTGGCTCTGTGCTTGCTAAAATCCATCAGCAGCTGCATGGCCTGAGTACTCTACCTTTGCAGCTCAAGGAGTCTCATCTCACATACAGAATAAATGAACGAAGGAAAGTAGTAAGCTGAGGTTATGTGCCTGGGGTAGTGGGCTAGCTGGCTGCTTCCTAGGAAGAAAATTTAATTAGCTCCATTATATGCCAAGCCTGAAATCCTTGAAAAGGTAACACCAAAAAAGATGTAAATTGAAAGGCAGTAGTACTTGGCAACTACATATTTTTAAGTCGTTTTACTTATTGAAGCCAGAAATGTAGAATTTGTACATGTGGCAGGAATGACAAGTGCTTTGCAAACATTAAACAGTCTTTCATGAAGCACTCACATGTATTTCAGAGGACACTTAGAGTTTCTGAATTTGTACGTAACTTTAAAGAAAAAACACTAGACTTTAGGATAGGATAACACACTTCATTATTAATGCTCCTCTGTGGACAGATTATAGACTAAAATCTGTCCTTTAATAATTAGCAATTTTTATTAAAACCTCTGGGAGCCAATTAGATTCTGAAAGGAGTTTCCAATCTCATCATAGGGAGAAGAAAGTGTTTCTAAATGATGAATTAACATGAATAGTATTGAGGATCCTTGGGAGTTCTCACTCTCAAACATGAAAATATTTGGTTTACTCCAAGGGCTCTGTGCTACCATAAAGTCTTTCATGGAAGAACATTCTAGAGACCTGCTATCATTCAGGATATCACCAGTGGCTTTGGCTCTTCTCCTTTTACATGCATGTCTCCCCTTTTGATTTTGTAATCGTGTTATGTGTAGATTGTATTTTATTTCATTTCCTTTTGATTTTTCCATGTAAGTATTATATATAAACCAATAGCCAAGAGAGTATGTTTAAGTTCAATCCATGCTTTAACATGTGGAAACTGGCTTGTCTTCTTTCTTTACTGAATCAGCAAAGTCCTGTCTGTGCCATTGTGATCTCTTACGCTGGCATCTGACAAAACTGTTTATTTTAAAATTCTAAATGGCTGTAGTAAAACTTCTCTGGGTGATTCAGTAAAGCCATAGGACAAATTGCCTCCCCAGGAGAGTGTGAAGACTAGTTTTGCAGACAAATTAGGACAATTGCTGCAAGAATACAGTCATTTAATGAGGAAAGTTTCTCAAGCATTCTATAAGAATCTTTGAAGTCTAAGAGCTATGTGTGCTATGATGCATCTCTCTGCTATTAGCCAACTACCTGGCCACACAAGCAAGGTGCACAGACAAGCCTAACAAATAATAGGAGATTTTGCTTGAGGTCCAAACAGTGGCTCAAGCCTAGTAATAGAGAGTAGCTGCATGAGTTCCTGTCTGCAAAAAATGTTTGTAAGTGTTCCTATCCACGTCCACTTTGATGAAAAATCCTTCAAGGGAAGTATTCAATAGAACCTTCTTTGTGAAAACAAAGGCAAATCTGAGTTGGGCAATGCATCACTTGGGGTCTCCGTGTTCAACTTATTGAATTCAGAATTCAATCTGAATTTCACAAATGCACCTGTGCAAACAATACTGTTAATATACTTTAAAAGCCCAGTACAGTAAACCCATCAGGCTGTAAAACTCAGGTCCAAAAATTCTCATATGATAACGAATCACTTTCATTAACTGAACATTCTTCCAGGCAGATGCAACCTGAATAATTACCATAGAAGGAGATTTTTTCCCTAATATCTGATAACATTCCTCTATGATCTAGATAAAATGTTCTTGATCAAGGTATCAACTGAGAACAAAAATGGCTTCTATAACCTCAAGCCTCCAAAGGTTATATATAAATATTTGAATTCAAGCTTTCTATACCCCCTTTCCATAATAGGAGATGAGGTTTTAAATAACCCTTAAAAGAGGATTTTTACCTAAAATGAAAAGTCTCTCATTAATTGGAAGTCTGCTCTCCTACCGCAGGAAATAGGAAGATAGTGTCCCTTTGCATGCTGGTGATTTGTCCCTTTTCTTACAACTTTGGTGTGGTTTTAGAATAACTGAGCTTATTGATCTACTAATGTTACAATAAGTTTCTCAATATTGTCCATGTTCAAACATAAATAAGGAAGTTATGGCCCACCTTTTTCAAAGATCTAAATAAATATAAAGAGATTATGTTTAGTAAATTAGCTCTTACCCTTACTGTAAGAGGTATTTTGCAAACAATCCAAATTATGACTATCTCAGTAGAATCCTACTGATTATTATCAGTTTATAGGAATCTTAGTTGATTTTATTTTAGGTTTCTCTTGTGCTTTGTGGTATGTATTCTGTGATTTCAATGGAGAGGCCAGTACAAATTCGTCCCATTCTTTTTTTTTTTTTAAGATTTTATTCATTTATTCATGAGAGACACCGAGAGAGAGAGAGGCAGAGACACAGGCAGAGAAGCAGACTCCATGCAGGGAGCCCGATGTGGAACTCGATCCCGGGACTCCAGGATCATGCCCTGGGCCAAAAGGCAGATGCTAAACCACTGAGCCATCTAAGGATCCCCCCAATTTGTCCCGTTCTAAGAGTGTTTTCAGACAAAAGGTTTGGTCCTAGTTAGAGATATGTCTGTAATGCTTTGCTCTGGGAAAGGAGCAATTCAACGGCATTACAGATACTTTATTTTTCCTCATCAAATGTCAACTTTTTGTCCATGTCACAGAATGGAACGTCTGGATCCTTTTGTAAAAACCCATGTTCAATACCTGTGACGTAAGTCCTTCACCACTTCAAGTGGAACACCTGCTGGCAAACCCTTGTCAAAATCCTATGGCGATGTTGATAATCAAGAGTAATAAAAAGACAAGGTAGTTATTCCTTCTTTTATTTTCTAAGTTTCTCATCTACATTACATCAGAACACCAGAATATCTTGTACTATACTATTCTAACTCCCCAAATACTGGATAGAAGAACTTTATCAGATATATGTTTTATAGGAGGATGCTCAGGAAGGGAACCTCACTCCCGTTGATATGGATCTCATCCCCTTGCATCTAGGCTGTCACCTGGGGAAAGCATAGCTTCCCAAACCCTGTGCAAACTGCCATACAAGCTACCACTATGGGGACTCTTGCAGAGAAAAAAGCCTGATGTTGCCTGAAGAGTTTTATTTCCTTTCCTAAAACCTTCTGGGTAAACTGGTGCCAAGTGCAGACTATGAAATTCTTGTGAGTCTCAATGTTTACCTAAACTTAAAGACCCCTGATGGATGTTGCACCTGCACAGTACAATACTTGAAAGGCAAATGTGTGGAGTTGGGCTGCAATTATAATAACAGCTTATAACAATCATTAATATATCTATTGTGTGCTTCCTGTGTGTTGGCCCTGTTCTAAGTAGTTGACACACATTAAGTCACAGCAACACTATGTGGTAAGTACTACTATTATCTCCATTTTAGAGATGAGGAAACAAAGGAACTGGAAGGCTTGGTAAGCTTGCTCAAGGCCACACAGTTGTTAAATGGGAGAGCCAGAATCTGAGCCAAGGCAGTCTCTTTCAAGTACCTGGTGCTCTTACCCATTATACACCCTGCCTTTCAGTAATATGTTACTTTCAATGTGTGTTTACTTTCTGGTATGAATAAAGAATCTGCACTAACATCAATAAAATGTCTAAAATTTAAAAATTGACTACCTAATAACTGATTTGGGGAAGATTATAGAATTTATATAATGTATACTGGTACTAAGGAAAATGAAGTTATTTTACTTGCCAAGGTATTTTATCAGGATGGTGGTCTGATAATCTTTATACTCCATTATTTTCTAAGAAGACTTTTTTTATTTTGAAATTGTAAATATAAATAGTCATCATTATAAACTCCAAACAGCTTAAAAACTTTGAGATTAGTACTAATTTATAACAAAACACTTTTAAATTTTAAAATGTGGATCT